GTAATAAAAAGTATACTTCCATAATATGAAATATTCTTAAAAAACTTAAAATACAAGAAAATGTACCATTCTCTTAACCACTTGCGCTAAAAAGACGTGCCACACACGGCGAGATGCTTTTGACTCAAACCGCGCGCAAGAATGAAAATAACGTGGTGCACATGTCGCCTAACAACGAGATTGTTTATTTCTCGAGTTACAGCTCTGGATTGCACTCGCAGACGCGGAGCGGCGTAAATGAGGCACTTTACCGCTTGTTATATTGTAGCGCACGGCACTGCAACTGTGAAGTTTTGTCATAGCACAAGTGGTTAAATGCTTTGTAACACACTTGTCACCCTTAAATTCCTGAAAATCCTCACACGAAATTCTAAAGTGTACAGATGAAACCCTGTCCCTGATAACACTGACATCAGAACTTCTCCAAGAAAATGTTTTATGGATTTAGGAAGTACTGATTAAATTCATAAGATTGCTAACAAACACTGGTAGATTGATATATGTGTCTGCCTATTTATTAAAAGTCTCAGATTGTATTTAAAAAAAATTTATTTGTAGGAGGTGATGATCATTCAGAAAATAGTGATGGATCTGCATCTACAAGTGGTTGTTCCTCCTTGGTATCTTCTCACAAAGATAGACCTAATTTCCTACCTAGTCCCTGCCTCAGACTACGTGAAAATGCCTTCGAAAATTTGCAAGGTGAAATTAATGATAACAGAAAAAATGTAACTCCACAGAAAAATAGTTTACCATGTATGTAAATGTTATGACTTTTACAGTTATATATGTATGGATAGGTACATATAAATATTTGAAATTTATTTTTATAATTTTTATAGCGAATGTGAATTCAAGTAGGTCACCTCTATGGTCAAGTACATCAAGACCATCAGTTAAATATCCAAGATCACCCTCGATTATACAGAGCAATCAGCCAAGTTTCAACTTGAGCAAATTTATTGGTCCTTCAAAAGTAAGTGACACCTTATTGTTTTTATGATAAAGCTAAATAAGTTATATTTGTAACCCTATTTGCATCAAAAGTTTTTTATTCCACTAGCAATATATTTGTAGTGGGACTTGTGTTTTACTGTTTATTTTTATAACTTTCACATTGCAAAAACAGTTCATAGTTAAAGAAATATAAGGCAATATACATTTTTAGTTTTGTTTAAGGAAGAAAGCTGAGAATAAAGATGTAGCAATGTGAAAAATCTGCTTTTAAAGGAAACAGCTGTAAAAAATTTTTTTCTAAAGAAAAGATGGTTATGTGAGGCTTTTTAATGTTAAATCTGTAGTTTTTACTTTTAAATTTCAGCCATGCTGATGAAATTTGTGTTTTAAAAGTTATAATACTGCTCCTGTTTCTCTTTTGCATTGTTAGATATCTAAACGTTTTGCCGAATTTTTTTTTTTTTTTTTTTTTTTTTTTTTTTGTTGTTGTTGTTGTTGTGGCTCATCTCATTTTTCTGACAGTAACATCAGAACAAGCCACCTGAAATTCATGTGGCAAGGAGTGCAAGTTTGGTTGCCCCCCCCCTTCCCTCAGCACCAACTTTTCGAGAGGACTTTCGGCTCACCACATGTTTTCGAGTGCCCCCATGCTGCACAGATGCTATACATTTAGAAACATCTGTGTCTTTTCCGGCATTGGAACCGGAACCTTTCTGTACGGCAGTCAGTATCGCTAACCACTATCCCGATTGGGCACCTTTGCTGGATTTTTAAATCTTCCTTCCATTTCATTATTTGATTATAGCTATTAGGAGCATCTAATCCAATGTTTCTCAAGCTTTTTGAGTGCTAAAAGTAATGCCACAAAATAATTTATCATCTTTTTGAATCATTCATGGAATATAAAAAAAGTAATTTGAAAAAAGTAATTTTATAAAAAGTTTTTTGGTGAAGGGCTTTACTTAAAATGGAAAAGTGTAGTACCTGTTTTGCAGGTGTTGCATTTTGCAGTATCTCCTCCACCCATGCAACGCATTTGCTATGTCTTTTTATTTAAAGAAGTATTGCATAATAAAGTTTATTGGTATGAGGAAATTCAGTTTTGTAAACTTATTACTGAAGAAAAAGTTACTTAATTTATGAAAATTGAAGAGTGCTTTGCCCTAATTTAGTAATCCCATCATTTTTTTGAATATTTGTATCTTAATCATGAAGAATGAATATGTTGACTCCCTTGGGGTGATGAAATTTTAAAAGGGCTAAATTATGATCAAGGAGTTGTTTGCCAAATGTGCATCAGTAGTTGATGGGCATAGTCAAAATTGCATCGATTGCTCAAAAACATTTATTATTGATAATTGTTTATTGATCTAAAATGCATATATTTTCTTCCAGTTGTCTAAACCAATATCTTGTAAATAGCATGAAATATTTCAGTGATTTATTATTTTAATACTTGCATATACTGTAAAAAGTTCCTATAATATCTGGCACAGTATGTGATTCTAAGAATATAATGTAAACATAAAAAGCAGGTCTGTTATGCTCATGGGGGTGGTAAGAGAGAAAGGAAGAAATGACATAAAATAATTAATAAAGGTAAGATACCCCAAAATTGTGAAATATATTTTTAAAGCAATAATGCATTTTAAGTGTATAAGTTTTTTTATGAAATAAGAACAAAAAAAACTTAACCAACATTATTGAAATTTCCCTCTTACCTAATAGAAGCAAGTTTTAGTCGAGTCAATAATTTACTACATAAAAAAGAAACAGGTTTAATATTATTGAATGGGATAAAAGAGTTAAGCAATTTTATATGACTATTAAAAATATTGCATCCGTGCCTTGAGCACAGCCATCACGTTAACTGAAATTAAATTTTTATGTAATTAGAATCGGTGATTTTGCTTCTGAAAACGTGTTTATAATTGCAAAATTAAACATAATGATCGTAATAACAAATCTGAAAGAATTAAGTCGCCCAAAAGGGCTCTTTTAAAGGTTGATATGCTTTATCAGTAGAGATTATCGATAGACTTGTCCGAAGTGGAATAATGAAACACGTTGGGGCTTGTGTTTTTCTGATTGGCAGCAGAGGATGAAAAATGAAACACATTTAAATCGAAATAACACAAAATCGTGTTTCAAGATCAATAGCCCTTCTAGGCTAATAAAATACAATAAAGCATACATCTAACAAGTCATTTTCTTCAGTGTTTTTCATATTCTAGTTTTTTAATAACTGCTTTATTGGAAGAAATATTGCTAAGCAGTTTACTTTAAACAAGTTAAATATCTTAATCAAGAAAATATGAATATTTTATTTTCATATGGTGGTAATGATATAAAAGGTTAGTAAGACATGTAGTTATTTCAGTAGTATGTCTTCTATAAATAAATTGCCTCACATTTTAGGTTAAATATTACTTTCCTATTTTTCAGTAAAGGGGTAGTATAGTTTTTTGCTGTAACGTCAGTATGAGATTGTTTAAGTTATTTATATTTATTCTATTTATTCATTTTGCTCTGTTGAGTGAAATATACAATAAAAATTTTTATGCTGAAGTTGTATTTTAAGAAAACGTTTGCTAATTTTGTAAATCTACTCGTATGCAGTTAAATCCCCTGGTTGAAAGAAAAGTAGCTTCACCCTTCTATGAAGGGAAAACTAGTTTTGGTGGTGCATCTTCCAACTGTAGAACATCATTAAGTATTGCACCTTACCAGGTTAGTATTTTATATTTGCACGGTATGTTTATTAACTTTTTTATGTCATGAACATCATGTAATGTTCTATTTTTTCCTTAAAAGTGGCATATAAATTTTCATTTTTGAAAAATCGCTGTGTATGTATTATTTAAAAATTTCATGGAATAACTTCATTACATTATGTATTTAATTTTTAATCTCAATTTATGTAATCTTTGTAACTATGAGCTTATTACTAACAGGGTTGCCACACCACCTGAAAAACAGGGAAAACTTAGGGAACTCGAAAACTAATTAGAAAGGGCAGGCAAAAATCTATTTTAGTTAAAATCTGAAAAAGTCGGAGAATTTCATATGGCAGTCCCCTAAAAAAGTGATTTTTATGCCAGCGTTGGAGGCCAAGCACTTTCTTGCCAAATTATGTATCACATTAGCGTCATTCGGGCAACTATCATAGAGCCAGTTTTTGCAGCTCCAATCAGATTGTCTTTTAGAAGGCAAACCAAGTCTCCAGCAACTTTGGTTTCCGATAACCTCGAGAATCAAGAGATTCGCATGCGCATGTACAGTGCATGTTGAACAAAAGAAAATCATATAAAACATTCTCATATAAAACAAAATAATTTTTAATTTTAGTTTACAGTACATACGGGATTTGGTGACATTATGATAAGCAATAAACTAATCATTTGGGTGTTGACAACAGTTTTTAAAATCAAGCCAAGGCTGTACCGTATACTAGGATTTTACCACAAAATCTTTTAAACCTTTTTTTCTTTTTAATAAATGGCTCATTTATCATTTTGCAGTAAAATAATAATAAAAAAAAATCAGTAATTGGTCATGTAGGCTAACCATTTATTCGTCGAAATATCGTTGATTCTTGTAACTCAATTTTGAAAACTGTATTTTAATGTTATTCATATCATTAAATATGACTTCTTACATCTAAATTTATTTATTTTTAGTTAATGCATAATACTTTCAAATTCCAGGCAATTTTCTCTGGCATACTCCTGAAACTAATTCTAACAGTATGATGACATACCATTATGAAATTTAATGCACATATTTTTTGCTTGTGTATGCTGCTAAATAAATATAAAATACCTGAAAAATTAAAAAATACCTATAAAATACCTGAATATATTTTAAAATATCATTAAATACATTTCAATCATTTAGCTGCAAAAAAAGCCATTTTTTAATCCAGATTGGGCAGATTCTAATCTCAATCTTCTGTGGAGAAAACATCTCCTATTATAGTTATAATAGTAATGCCTTGGGGACAAGTCATATGTAATTGGCAAATTTTTGTGCTTTCAAGTGGTACCATAATTAATTTACTTCTCGGCACGGCCAACACGAACTACATGGATAGCCTGGAATTTTCTTAAAACACACCTCGAAAACCTGGAAAAGTTGGGGAATTTCATTCTCTTGTTTAAATGGCAACCCTGTACTAAAGACTTGTATTGTATAACCTTAATACAAAATAATGTTCTATACATTTTAGGCCCTAGTATTGTACAGCTTACAGAATGTTGTGGGTTGTAGGTCTTGTCCTCTTAAGTTTTGTTTACAAAATCCTTCTCCTTTTATTTTTATTTTTTTTTTATTTTTTTTATTTACCTTAAACTTTGGATTTTTTTTTACATAATTAACTAACTGAAAATACTCTTAAGAATTGTGTACGAAACAAATTCCGTACAAAACTATGACATTTTTACATATATTTATATTCAAAGAAAATAACATAAATTCAAAGAGTTAAGAAAAAGGTATAAATGAGAAGACAATTTTTTGAAGTGAAAAACTCCTGAAAGTCGTTAAGCATTTTTGTGTTAAAAAAAAGTCATGTTACTTTCTGAGTATCCGTCTAACCTCGAAAAGAGTATTATTACCTTTGGCTTTTTTTTTTTTTTTTTTTTTTTTAATCTAAGACAAAAACAACAGCCATTTTAAAAAATATCAGAACACTAAAAACTATGTGAAACAGTAACCAATTGGTAAAATTAATGACGTAGGAAATGCTTGTATTAAAACACACCGATTTGTTTTAGCTCCAAAAAGCAACAGAGACTTGCAGAAATTCAGCATCATGGACAACTTGGCATTGCGTATTCTGTCATTCTATGCAACAATCTACTTTTGCTTAAAAAACATCAAAGAATTGCACATATTTGGCATTTCATATGCTTATGTTCTTCCCACGTACACAGTGATCTGTTTTCATCTAAAAAATAAAGAATTGCACAAATTTTGATCTATGAAATTAAATTGTTTGCAAAGCACCATGTCATGGAATGCAGAGAAAATACAACATGAAGAAATCTGTTTCTTTTCAATCAGCCTGAAAACTCACAGACTTGTTATGATTCCTTGCAAAAGGAAAAGTGCACTCGTGCAACAAAAACAGTAACAGTCATCAAAATTGAAAGGTCAGAAATGTTGCTTATCTGCTGCATGCATTGCCTTGTAAAGACATTTTGCTGATGTTATTGCACTGAATTCGGTAGTTGCATGTTATCGCAAGCACCTTGGTACAGTTTGGCGAATATTATGGAAGAAAAATTACAATTAATTTTATTGTTAAAAAATATATATATGTAAAATATGTTAAAAATAAATATATTCATATGCTATGTTCCAACTATATATTTATTTCAATCAGTCTTCGTTCCTTTAACGATTTTGTGAAAAAACTCTCTAAAGGAATTTCACCTTTCCTCCTTCCAATATATTAAAATCCTACAAGCACAAATTTTAATGTAAAGTTTTAGTGGCATCAGAAGGTCAGCAGTTTAGCCAGTTTAATGCTATTGGTAATGAAATTTTTTTTAATTTGTAGTGTTGCCAAATAAAAAAACAGTTGTTAGTGTTTGACTATTGTATAACCTTATAGAAGGAGCTAAGAAATAATACAGAAAATATTATTTTAGACTTAGTGTAGTATTTGGCAAGGTGTGTTATGTTCCAAAAAAACTTTATAAAATTTTCAAATACAAAACTTGTAATAATTTCATATTCATCGTTTAAAGTTTTCCTTTATAAAAAAATCACCATTCTGTTACCTGAGGCATTTAAAATGTTTAATATTATTAAATGAGACAAATTAAATAGGTATTTATGGAAACCCATGCAAGAAAATGGCTTACAATTTGACATGTCGAGTGCAGACCCCCATTTTTTGTTTTGATTCTATTTTTAAACTAACTTTATGAAAAGGAGTAGTATAATAAATTTTAACTTAAGTTATTGTATAACTATAGCTCTTGATAAATTTTAAGCATTTTAAAATTAAAAACTCAGTATTTAAATGTGGGATACACAACATGTGGCCATGAATGATCAATTTGTGGCCTGCCGACACCTCTTAAAAATTTTGTTGCAGTTTGACATATTGGTTGTTTAGAAGGAGTTGTGAGCAGAAAAAATTCACCCCCCTTCATTACTTATTCAACTCTTTCCTCTTGAAGTCAGATTTGGCACTGGGTCAAGTTCCTGCCATCAACCAAAGCGAGTTTCACCACCTGAGCACAAAAACTGCTCCTAGCCTGTACCACGCACAGATTGAGAAAGGGTATGACGTAGGTATACATAGAATGAGTGTGCATGCATGCATTAGTAAAAAGTGAGAGAAAAATATTTTCTCAGATTGAAAAAGCTGCATTAATTTACTTTGTGATGTTTCACTTTTGGTTTTGTGACTCTGCGTTGTTATATCACTTGTGTGTTTATTTTTTTTCGAGACTATTAAGAAGTTTCTTCTTTTGAATAGTTTATTTATTTATTTTTTTTTTAATATTGAAAGAGGAACCAATGTAGAATTTTTGTTATTTTTGTTGTTCATGGATTTGATAGTTACTTGCTATGATAAACAAATCAAAAATGAAAAGAAAGGTAGCAGACGATAATAGGAAATTTTTGGAGGCCTAGTTTTTGAAATACTTTTTTGAGGAGCTAGATGCTTATATGTAATTTTATGATTAGCATTTGCGAGGAGTATAATATTAAGTGACGCTACCACACGAAACACCCAACATTTACAAAGCTTGGGGAGAGGATCGGAATTGTACAATTGAATTGTTGCACAAAGGAATGTGTTCACAAAAACATCTTTACATTTAGATATATAACTGTGTTTAATTAGTTTTGGATTCACAGCCTTATTTTCTAAAAGTGGCTGCCCATTAACTGATGGCAATTGTGCAAAGAAGTGTATATTGTTGTTGCCTGAGAAAGTAGGCCCTGAAGCTATGAAGAAATTTTAAAATGTGAGTCTGAGCGGAATTGAAAATTTATCTGATGATAACAATTAGAGATTGCTGCTGCCAAATTTAAGTAATGCAAGTGAACAAACTTATATATGTGAACAAATATTTTCTGTTCTGAATCTAAATAAGTCATTAAGAAATAAATTGACAGATCAACACTTGCAATCTGTCTTAAGAATACCAACAACTAGTTTTCAACCATATATATCAAAAATTGATGATAAAATTTACTCTCAACCATCACACTAATGTATTTAACTATGACTAACTTGTACACCTTTTTATTAAAATATTTATGTATTATCATGCACAAACATAAACTGTCATTTTTTTTCAAGTTGAACTGGGTGTGTCCCCAGCAGTGCATGCAAGGGGAAAGGGAAACTACCCCTCCCCCTTGCTTACATACATACGTAATGGTCTCCAAGTAAGTTTAAATTTGATATGGTACATGTCTGAATAGTAAATTAAGCAACTTATTTTATTAACTATCTTTCCCCCCCCCCCCTCTTTTTTTTTTTTTTTTTTTTTTTTTTTTTTTTGGCATATGCAGCAAGTCATTTCCATGATTGGCTTGGCCTTCTGCTAAAAAAGGTTGTATGTCCCAAACTTAAAGGACTTCGTGTGCAGATTTATCTCTTCAGGCCATGATTAACAACATTAAACTTTTAACAGGTTGAAAGACCTTTGAAAAATCACATCAGAGTCCAAGTTAAGCAATCAGAAGACAGCCTAGAAGGTATGAGTTCTGCTGCTAGGAGAATTTTACAAACACTGGAAAAAATGTCGTCACCTGTCATGGTAGTGTAATTTATATACTTAATTTTTTAAGAATTGACATATCTTTACATATGAATTTGTTATATCTGAATTTATGATATTTATTTTTTTTATGGGTAGGATGCTAAGAAAATTCCTAACACAAACAAATCTCCTGTTGATTTGTCTTTATACCTATCTGTAAGTATAATTCATCTATTAACTTTAGTATAAAATGTGGATATTTCATGTTTAGTGCTGAGTCACGATAACAGTTACAAAATTGTGTACCATTAATTTTGGTTTGTAGTAAGCTGCATTTTATTATTATTTGTATTCTAATAAATTTCATATTTTTTCAGCCACGTAAAGTACGTAGGAATACTGTATTAACGCCAACAAGTGTAAGTATTTCTGCTTTATTAACATTCCTTTTTAAAGACTTAATGTATTTATGTAGAGTTCTCAGTATATGACGTAGCGCTTTTCTGTCATTTTTTGTGCCATTTGATACACATTGGCTTACTCCATGGCTTTTTCTTGATGTTAGATGAAACAAAATGATCGGAATCACCAACAAGAAAACAATTTAAGAGCACAGCCTACTTTTTTAACCCTCTGAGTGTTACAGGATTAGACGTGGAATTTCAAAGTTCCTCAAAATGGCATGAATAAATGATATTTTCTTGCTTGTAATTAAAAATAAACTCTGACGCTTTGTACCTTGATTCTTTTTCTTCCAGTCTACATCTAATCTGAAATCGGATACGTTAAGAGCTAGCAGAAATTTTCATGTGTTGTAATGCTGAGCTGCCAACTGTCCCGATTTTCGACCGTTCTCTCGCCGATTTGATTTACAACATATTTCTCCTGAATTTCTGTTATTCTTAAAATTTCTCATGACTTTTATGTATCTTGGCTTCATTATTTGCCAAAAAACATAAGTGACTTTGGCCATCTGAAAGCTCTTGGTTTTTCTCTAGATTAGTTATAAAAGAAAACCAAAATTGTTTCAGCGGTGATAAATTATGGCACTTCTGCTTTGTAAGTGAGAGCGCATGCATTCAAAAACATCGTGTTCTAGTTCTCCAGTGAGCATCAAGTGTTGCTGCTTGTCATCTGGTGTATATTAGCCAATGAGCACAATTCAAGATCGAGGTTGTTATTTTGTTCATCTTGTCACTGGGCGGTGTGAGTGTACGTGCTTTCGAGAAAAGGTTTAAGAAATTTCTATGAATAAGATAAACTACTCACGTACTTTTCAAAAATCGTACATGGATGACTTTCCTTTTATTATTACAATGCATTTGCGCTGTGTACCATTTGTCATTTTTGCATTTTTTTTTTTTTTTTTTTTTTTTTTTTTTTTTTTTTTTCATTTTGCACGGTGGAAGGGCCAATGTTCTCAAATGTGCGTACACCAGCGTTTTTAAGATTTATCAGTTACAGATTTCTCATAATGTAATATTCAAATGAGGATAATCTATTGAAATTGCATAAATTAAAATATCTTTGCAACTTCATGTTTTAACTTTGATGGTTTTTGATTATATTACTTCTTGAATTTAAATTGGATAATAAATGCTATGAGGTATTATTTATAAATTCATTTTTTTTAGTACCAGAGGTGCTATTAGTTTTGAAACTTGCTTTTTATCTGTGTTATTTTTATGTCTTGAGTCTTTTTTCAAATTATTGCCAAAATGTTACTGCAGTGTAAAGGGTGTCAAAAATTAACACAAGATTTGAATTCAATATAAAAGAGAGCTTTTAGTCTTTAGATATTTATTCTTTAAGTGAATCATAAAGTACATAAGATAGGGTTATTTATGGAATAACACATTGGGCAAATGGCCTCCATGGCTTTGCTGGCACATACACGCCCTTTCGTCAAAATTTTTCATGACCTTTCTGCATAACTGTGGCTGAATTTCGTTGATGCATTGTTTAATTTCCTCTTGTAATGCAAGTGTGGTTGTGGGATTGTTGACACAGACCTTTGACTTCAAATAACCCAATAAGAAGAAATCTAATAGTGTTAAATCACATATCTTTTGTGAGTATATGCTGTAGAGAGCTTCTTGAAATTTGCAATTTTTGTCCATGATGCCGAATTGGTGTTCCTAGGTTTTCACCAACACTCCCATGCACTCCTTCAATATTGACATTTGAACAGCTTGTTTTTGGACGACCGGTGTGTTTAGCGTCTCCAACTGGTCCAGTCTCCACAAATTTTTCAATTAATCTTTTCACAGTTGACGAGGTTAAAACACTATTTTTACCATATTTTGTATAAAATTTTCGAACTGCAGCCGCCAAATTTTCATCATTTTTAAAACATTGTTCAATAATGAAGACACGCTGTTGTATTGTATAATGCTCCATTTTCACTATTGAAGAGTCTGTGCACATATTCCTCGCATCGTGGAGAAATGAAGACAAACCACTGAATTTTTTAATACACGTTGTACTTCAGCTGAACCCTTGAACTAAGAGATTTAAGAGTGAGAAGGGCCAACACTGTTCGAAATAAAACTTTTTTATCTCTAGTGTGCCAGATTCTTGCCATTTGGCTAAATGTAAGATATTTATCCTTTAATTTTATTCCACAAATTCAGCTATTTAAAAGGGGAGTGTTGCGATTGTGTGAAATAGAATACTTATTATTTCAACTCATGTGCATGTTGACATTCAGTAAAGCGTAAGATATATATAACTTCCGAATTTAATCTTTGTGTTGCTGAGTAACAAGTGATTGAAAAGCAATAAATGCAGGTCTTCAAAATATTTGTTTTATTTTTTAATCTGAATGATTTAAATGAAAATGCATTTAAATCATGAGAGAAGTATTTATTTCTATAAAATAACTACTTGGACTCATTAAAATCATTATGTACTTTTTTTTTATCTTGAAGGTAACTCTTTTAGGCGACTGGCCATTCAAGCAGCTAATTTTCAAGGAAATGATATAATGAATGTAAAGAAACATATGACAACCTTAACACTCTACTGGGAATTTCAAAAGATATGCTGTTTCTAAATCTTTTGTGATTTTGTTCTTGAATTTTATGTGGCATAAGTGCGAAGAAAATAATCCTTAACCCCTTCGCGCCGACTGTCACGTATACGTGCCAGCAACAAACACACTTATCTACCGGCCGACACGCAGGCGTGCCAGAGCATTGTTGCGTTTTCTACCGAATGTCACGTATGTGTGCCACTACCTTGGAACGTTTTTCAAACTATAATTTCTGCCACAAGATGGCACTGTATGTCCATATGGTTTTAGATACATGTAGATTAGACCTTCTACTCGAAATGAGAGAAGCATGACTCACATACACGTGTTTTTGATTGTATAAACAAACGGGGAACTAAATGTTTCCGAATGGCATGATTTATGATGTCTCTTTAAATCGCACTTTATTCGCACGTGGTAGTTGTTTATTGTAAGTAGAAGTTTTATATGCACTAAAGCATTGAGTATTTCGGCTTACAGTTAAGTTTTTAGAAAATAATTACATCTTAATTCAGAAGTCAAACAACAAAAATCAGCGTTATATTTACAAAATTTTCACAGGACTAGTTTCGATGGTTTTACCGAACCACCATCTTCAGCTGCAAAACCGTAAATGAACAAGGTAGGAAATAATGATTAGATAAGATAAGAAAGACTGGACAAGAATAAGCAAGTGGCGCCATCTGTTGGCGAAACCAGAACTAAAACAAAATTTCTCTAAAAGCCGAAGGCAAATTTGGATTGGAATTAGGATCGTTAACTAGAACAGAAAGATTTTTATGAATGTGAAATGCCTCTAGAAAATCCAGTTCTCCAATGGAAGATGTTTTTTGAATAATTTTAGCAGCAGAAAAATTGAAAGTGTGATTTTTCGGACCAACAATGTTGAGCAACAGAAAGACTTCTGTGTTTCCTTTTTTTCTAACATAAGCCTCATGCTCTTTGACGCGAAATTTTAAGGCTCTCTTAGTTTTGGCCAATGTAAATTAAACCACACTGGCAAGGAATCCTATAAATACCCCAGGAATTCATATCCGGAATGGGGTCCTTGAGTATAGAAGTCCGAATTTTATTGATGGGAGAATAAACAACCCGAAAGTTAAATTCTTTCTTTTTCTGCAAAATATGTGCAACTTTATAGCTAATTGATGGAAGAAGGGAATGACAACAGAATTTTTATTAATCTCCTAAAATAAGAGTGTGGCTTTTAGTGTGTTGAGATGAGAATTTTTTTAACTGCTTGATTAATAATGTTGGGTGAAAAGCCCCTGTCAATAGCTATTGCTTTTAAATAATTTAGTTCTTCATCAAGGGCTAGTTTGGAGGAGCAACTTGAAGAGCACGGAAAACATAGGAATAAAATGAAGCTAACTTTGTTTAGTCGGATGACATGATTTAATGTGTGGTGGAAGGCAAACCGATGAAGGTTTACGGTAAACTGTAGTACTGAAGTTGGATGTGTTACGTGTGACCAGAATGTCGAGAAACGGAAGAGAATTGCAAGTCTCAAGTTCAAAAGTGAACTGAATAGCAGGATCAATAGAATTCATTGTGAAGGAACTTTATTTAAATCATCTTTATTACCTTCAACAGGGTAAAAGTATCGTCTACGTAGCGGAACCATGCCGGGAAGTTTAAAGTTTCAAACAATTTTTGATTCATAATAATGCATGTAGATATCAGCCAGGATGGGACTGAGGGGCATCCCATGGCTAATCCCTCAGTTTGCTTGTAATATTTATTTTGGAAAACAAAATGTGTTTGTTTCAAACAGAGTTGAGTGAGAGAAATTAGCTCATCAATTTCGATGCAAGAGAAATGAAATTCGCGAAGTCTGGTTTCTAGACATCTTAATGCACCCTCCACTGGGACATTGGTGAAGAATAATGATTTTACATCAAAAAGAAACCATGAGTAAATTACTAGGAGAAATGTTTTTAACCTTTTTACAAACTCTATTGAATTTTTTATGGTGTAAATGTTATTGTCTAATAGAGTGGAAAATCTAGAAACTAAATATTTTAGCTAATGGATACGAGGCAGTACCTAAATTTGATACAATAGGGCGGAAAGGAACACCACTTTTATGAATTTTGGGAAGAGCATATAATCTGGCACAATTCGCAACAGATGGGATAAGCGAATGTTTTAAGTTGCTTAAAATGATTTGCGAAGATTTGATCGCAGTTTTTATTCGGATCCCAGCATTCAGGATCCGTGAGAGACTGAATATCAGAAACTCGGTTTGATACAAAGGGTTTCCAATTTCTTGCACATCCCTTTATCCAGTAGATAGTTATTTGGCTGTCACTCCAAAGAAACTTTTGATGACACAGTTCAGGAAACAGCTTTGTCAAATACATAGACAATTTGGCGGCTACTAAA